GGTAATTACCTCGAGCGTCAAGGACATCTAGTTTGAGGGTGGATAAAAGCACAGTTCTTCTGGTTGTCGAAGCAGACAGTGATGTACGAAGGTTGGTTAATGGATTAAGTTGTGATGGGTTAGAATAATCTTGAATCGAGTTTGAAGCGATTTGATTATGACTTGACGAACTATGGATTAAACTTGTGTTATTTTGACTATAGTCGTAATTGGGATGATAAGCAACGGTCGATTGTGGCAGATGCAACAAAGTGTGGTGGCGATAACGACAGATTTTGCAATTGAATGTGCTTGCGCAATTTCGTAAACGATGATTAAAACGCAAACAGTTTACGCATGCGTTGAGTTGCTTCACATACGCAAAACGGTCTGAAGGTGATTTTGCAATGAACGTGGCACATTGCGACAAGGGATGCAATAGATTGTTGCAGAGTATGCACTAGGTTTGAATTTTGATTTTGAGATGACTGTTTGTGCTGGGTTTGCTCGATTGTGGACTCGCTCTTATATAGAAATTGTACGGCCTTCTTGATCTGTATGAGCTATTGAGATATTTATTGCTTCTGTTATTATTAGAATTTGGATGATTGAGTTTCGGTTGTTGCCGTCCGGTGCTGGGGTTCGTTGGGGAGTTTTGACGAGTTAACCTTATAGTTTTGAGAGCTCTGCAATGATTTGTAAGGAATTCCATTAAATTTTGGTATGTCGGGATTTCGGTAGGACTATACCTGATCTCAAAAGCTGTTCTAGTAGAGTGATCCAATTTTGATAAAATCATAGAAAATAAAAAAAAACACCATGAGTGTACTGGAAATCCGAGATTTTCGAGTGCAGCGACATTGTCTGAAAATACATCAGTTAATAATCTAAGATCTGTACGTGAATTATTGGACTTTAAAGGATTTGCATTGTAAATCGAGTCCCAGTAGGTACCGGCCAAAAGTCGAACATTTTGATACCTGTTTGTTAGTGTTTTCCAGGCGATTACGTAATTTGACGCTGTTAGTTGGATTGAGCTCAAAATGTTCAATGGTTCACTCTCTAAGAAACTGAGCAAATATTGGAATCTTTTAATATGCAGTAATTTGGATTATTATGAACCAATGATAAATAAACATCGCAAAAGGTACGCCAATGTTTCAGGTTCCCATTGAATCCACCTAGGGCCTAAATCATCGCTACGTGATAGAACATCATGAATTACTATAGTGAGACAGGGCTGTTGATTGGGAGCGTGAAATGAGCTACTAAATATTGCTTTCGTTTTGTGGTAAAACGAATCGGTATCTTTACGAATAACATCGTGTACCTCAAATTCGGTATCGTCAGTATCATCATCAAGAAGGCCGATGACTTCATTCTGTATAGACTTGAACTGTTCATAATGATCATCTAGTGATTCAAAATATGACTTGAATGTTAATTTGAGAGTATCGTCAGTTTTCGCTTTTATTCCCAGATTGTACGCCTCTGTAGTACGTGAGATTGCTATTTTGCGTTGATTAACCAACCATTTCAAAGACATGATTCTGAATATTTAGAATAGCACTGTTTGTTTGTTTTGATTGAAAATTGATAAAAATTATTTGCTTACTATTCAAATATCCTGGACCGTGTTTACTCCAAAAGTGTACAGGTTCACAAAAGGCACTAGGAACACTGCTCGGTTTCACGTATTTGAATATACTTGTATATGTGGATGTTCAACTACAATCTTCTCGAATTTTACCAGCTGACAACACAATTTTAATGTTTCTACGACTGAGCTACGAATTGAAAGGAAGCAAAACTGTGAGAGGGAACATACAAAATGGCGACAATAATTATTTAATCCTTAATTATATTTTCGTAGAAGATTTTGAAAATTACCCGAAAAATCCGGGCCCGAATGTGGATAAAAAATGTTATTACGAAGATGGCTCTAAATTGTGGAGAGCCGCGGGACTGTAAGCGCGTTCAGATATAATAATCAAGGTAATAAGGTAATCGACACCCGAGCCATACAAAGACAATGTAAAATTGGCACGTACCTGGGTGTTCCTGTCGCCTGGTTTGGAGGAGCTCCTCTCTCTTCACAGCTTCTTCTTAGGTTCACCACACTTGCCTTAGCGGATATATTGTACCCCGTTTAACTAGGATTCTTTTGTCGAGGTTTTGATGGCGACCGTTGCCTTTTCCGATCTCTACGAATTGACTTCACGAAATCTTCTTCCTCTTGAGCGCATCTTTTACTGGTATGCGTACGTGCCAAAGGGTTTGAATTTGTATGGCTTTTGAGTTCAAAATAATAAGGTATGTTTTAGAACTTGCATGAACACTGCCCTTCTGCATAAATCAAGAGTTGGTCAAACTTAATGAACACATATTCGGTTCCGAAAGTATTGAGTAATTCAGAGCTTGTTCAATCCACTCTCCGTAACAAGTGCATACCTGGGCCATGGCATTCCAATATTGATCCACAGCGTATTTACAACTATTGATTTCAATTTTCTTAAATATGACAAATGCGGTATACAGGGTGTTTCAGTTTATTGTTGCATAACTTTAAGATTCGATAGAACTTTAAAAATTAATGCATAAAGTCTATATAAACATGCGTCGAAAAATGCGTGGCTTCCGAAATACAGGGTGTTTAAATTTACTTTCTAAAATAGTTTTTTTTAAATATTTCGAACAATATTTGATGTATAACAGTGAAAATTGGTATACAAGCGTTTTTTGGCACGACAATTTTACTGTAGCCGCTAGAGGGCGCTCTCTACAGTACCTGTAGTGTATTAAAATGACCGAAAAAAATTTTTTAGTGCAATTTTTTGCTTTTTGAATATAAAAACTGATTCTTCGCACTTTTCAACATAAAAAAGCTCTCCTGAGAGTTTTCGTTATAGTTAGCCGTTTTTGAGATATTTCGATTTTTAAGGTTCGATGCATTTTTAATTATTTATGGGAAAAGAATATTTTTTTTACATTTTCGATTTGGGCATTACAAGTAATTAAGATGATCGTTTAGATTGTGTTTTTAAACACAGCAATAATTCCTAACTCCAAATAAACACAAAAAAAAACAGAATATTAATTTGTTTAATTTTCCAATATTATTTTTAACAAATTAAATTAATTATTTACAACTAAAACGCTATTGGATAGTTAGGACAAACATACAAAATCTAAAGTAGTTGCTCGAAATGTAAACCCAATTGTTCAATACACAATTCACATCTACGAATGATCGAACGTGGTATAGCATTATTCAAATGAGGCCTTATTTCATCACATGCATTCCTGATTCTGTCTATTAGCATATCTCTTGTGGTTACGGGAGTCTGGTACACTTTTTCTTTTAGAAATCCCCACACAAAGAAATCTAATGGATTTAGGTCAGGGGATCGTGGACGCCAGGCGACTGGTCCCCACGGCCGATCCATCTTTCTGGATAATTTTCGTCCAGCCAGTTTCTAACTATTCTCGAATAATGAGCTGGACAACCATCAAGCTGGAACCAGGCCAATCTTCTTTCAGGTTTCAACAGACAACAAGACTAACTGTCAACTAATTGACGTTTAACCTTATTCTGCTTTCAATTTCAAAAATATTTGCAGGCACAGCCTACTTCTAAAAATTATCGATATACTGACTTATTAACGTATTTTATCATAAATAATTAAAAATGCACCGAACCCTAAAAATCGAAATATCTCAAAAACGGCTAACTATAACGAAAATTCACAAGAGAGCTTTTTTATGTTGAAAAGTGCAAAGGATCAGTTTTTTTATTCAAAAATCAAAAAACGGCACTAAGAAAAAAAATTCGGTCATTTTAATGCACTACAGGTACATTAGAGAGCGCCCTCTAGCGGCTACAGTAAAACTATGACCATGGTTCGTTTTGTCGTACCAGAAAACCCTTGTATGCCAATTGTCACTGTTATACATCAAATATTGTTTGAAATATTTAAAAAAAAACTGTTTTAGAAAATAAATTTAAACACCCTGTATTTCGGAAGCCACGCATTTTTCGATCCATGTTTATATAGACTTTATGCATTAATTTTAAAAGTTCTATCGAATCTTAAAGTTATGCAACAACAAACTGAAACACCCTGTATAATCAAGCAGAAAGTTAAGTGATGACATCATCTGGATAAAATTCATAATTGTACTGGAACATACTGTTTTACTTTACAAGCTTTCATATTTGTAATGGCATTCACCAAGATACATAGTGTAACCTTAATTGCATTAAAATCATGGAATATGGATAGTGTTATTTTAATCAAATTAGGGCATTAATTTCAAATGTATACGGGAAAAAACAGGTAATTGCTCCATGCTAATGCATATCTGTTTTCTGTCATAAAAAGCATAATAGGGATTATGAGAGTAGCCAATTTACTGCACTACGAATTATATTTAAATAAAAAATATTTCATTGAATATAGTATAGTATAGATCACATCAGTCATTTAGATCGCTATAAATACCTGAATATCTCACACAAGACTTGAAGATAATTTAAAGCAGTAGCATTCACTTCGATATCGGAAAGAATCGCGTCCGTGGAACTGTTGGTGGTGTACTCTGGAGCCGCAGAATGGTTTTTAACCATTTTGACCCATATATTCTGTGACATTTGTGTCAAATTGTAAAAGTCGCACGAGTCAGTATCCGCAGGGCGCTAAGAACAAAGCAGTAGGATATAACTAGGCTGAAGGCAAGAAAAAGAACAAAACAGTAGCGCATTTGATATGAGTCAAGGTGTAAGAAAGAAAAATAAAAATCAAAATCATTCAGAAGGAGAGGAAGAGAAGGAAAAAGAAGGAAAAGCAATACAATGTAACAGTAATACGCGATACCGCTCGGAGATGCCGGCCGGTGCAGATGTCGCTTTGAGCCGGGGCGACAAAATCTGTGAAATTTGTGGCGATGAAATACGTAAATCGGGTGGTATTACGTGCGATGCAGAAAATTGCAGTATATCTCTTCATACAAAATGTTTTGAGAATATCGCTAAGTTATTCTTCACCGAAAGGAAAAATTGGAGGTGCAAAGGTTGTACCATAAAGTGCAAGTCGACACCTAATACTCCAGCGACTGACGTTATAGTGCTTCGTCATGAAGTAGAATGCCTCAATCGTGAGAAAGAGTTACTATTGAACCTTAACAGTGAATTAAAATGCAACAATGAGCTCCTCAAGGAAAAATTATCATCCTACGCTGCAAAAACAAGGGGACCATTTCTTAACCAGGCAAACACAGGTACTGTTTCTTGTAGCACAGCCAAAAAAAGTCAAAATAAACACATACTATCATCAGCTGGGATTATTGTTAAATCGAACAATAACTCGATATCTAATACTGACGTGTTGAATGATATTAAAAATAATATTAACCCCAAGGATCTTCAACTGTGTTTAAGTGGTATCAAGAAAATTCGCAATGGTGTAGTTATTTGCTGCGATGATGACAAATCGTTGGGAAAACTAAAGGAACATGTTTCTAACAAATTAGGAAGGAAATATGAAGTTAGTAATACTAAGCTGTATAATCCCCGAATTATGGTTAAAAATATTCAGATTCCTGAAAACTCCAGTGTCGCTGACATTATTGACAATATTTCATCTATTAATGACCTTCAAGATCTAGAAAATCGTGAAATTAAATTTGTAACGAAATTAAACTACCCTAACGCTACACATTTGGTACTTGAGGTGTCACCTGAGGTGAGAAGTCTCTTTATGTCACGTCAATATGTATATGTCGGATTCAGCAAATGCTTCGTTGCTGACCATGTTAGAGTGGTGCGATGTTTCAAGTGCAGTGCAATAGGTCATCTTGAAAAAGACTGTAAGTCGTCCATTGTGTGTTCTTCATGCAGCTGTGAACATCGATATAAAGAATGCTCGTCCGAAGTCCTTAAGTGCATTAATTGTCTTAAAAGTAACGAAAAATATAAAACTAAATATGATGTTTGCCATTCGTCGAATGACGAAGGTTCCTGCTTGGTGTTACAACATTACATAAATAATCTTAAATCTAAAATCAATTATGGAACATAAAAAATATATTAGAATAGCTCACATAAATGTAAGGTCGTTACTTTCCAATTTTGCCGATTTTGTAGAGTTAGTTTTTGAAAAAAAATTAGATATAGTTGCCTTATCGGAAACTTGGTTGTCCGAATGTACTAGCTCTGAAACTGTTAATATCCCTGGCTTCAGCTTTTGTAGAAATGATAGGCCATCCCGTGGTGGTGGTGTCGGTATTTATATTAGAAGCAACATCAAGTTCGAGGTACTTACTTCTTACACATATGCTTGCTTGGAGCATATGTTCATTAAATTTAAAATTGGTCACTGTAGTTACTGCCTGGATGTAATGTATAGACCTCCGAGTGCAAATGTTTTGAATGCTATCGAATGTCTCGATAATTTGCTACCTGGCCTAGTAACTGCATACGACAATTTATTCATGTTAGGTGATCTAAACGTTAACTTATTGATCAAAAATAAAATCAGTGAATGGTTTCAATCATATGGCTTTACACAAATTATCGAAGATCCCACTCGTATTACTGGGACAAGTAGCACTCTCTTGGATCCCATATTTCTGTCTGATGTTGAGGTTTGCGGTGACAAGGGTACAATCAACGCTGATATCATTAGTGACCATCAAATGGTTTTCTGTGACCTACTTTGTAGTTTAAATAAAGTATATAAGTATGTGACTTTCAGAGACTATAAACACTTCGACTTAGATAACTTCAACCGAGACTTACATTAAATGAACTGGGAGCAGGTCTTATACTTTAGTGACGTTGAAACCAAATTGAAATTTTTGACTGACAACATCAATGCCATCTTTGATTTACATTGCCCAATTCGGACAGTGCGTGTCACTAGACCGAAAGCACCATGGTTGACCGCCAATTTGAAGTTAATTTTCAAGGAAAGAGATAAAGCGCTGTCTAAATTTAAAAGCAATCCGTCTGTTCAAAATTGGAATAATTACAAATCTTTGAGAAATTATGCATTACAGTCATTACGGAATGAAAAGTCTGCCTTTTTGGATCATTTACAAAATCAGAGAAATTCCTCTTTATTATACAAATCTTTAAGAAATATGCGCGTTCAAGCAATTAAATCTTCTGAAATCCCATCAACACTCACAGACCCTTACAAAGTCAATGAATACTTTACCTCAGTTTTTCAAAACAGTGATGAAGCGTGCTTTCAAAAAATACTTTACTACAGAACAAATAACTTTTTGCAAAGAAATTCATTTTCTTTCAAGCCAGATGATTTAGATGTGATTAAAACTGTTATCTGCAGTATAAAATCCAATGCTTCTGGAACGGATGGTATCACGTTACAAATGTTAAAGTTATGCTTTCCAGTAATTGGCATTCATCTGCTACATGTTATTAATATTTGCTTGGAAACTGGATACTTTCCCGACCTTTGGAAGACAGCTCTGGTGACTCCTCTGCCAAAATTGTCTAATCCGATATCCATCGCTGACCTCAGACCAATAAGCATATCGCCAATAATGTCTAAAATTTTAGAACGAGTAACTTATACACAGATTCTAGATCATCTCAATGCACATAATATAATCCCCACCCATCAATCAGGCTTTCAGAAAAACCGCAGTACAACTACAGCCTTGTCTTATCTCATTGATAGCATCATATCTTCCATCGACAGTAAAAACATGAGCTTGCTGGTACTGTTAGACTTTTCCAAGGCCTTCGATACGCTTAACCATCGACTGCTTGTTGCCAAGTGCCACTACTATGGCTTCGATGAAGTTGCCTGCAACTTTATTAGATCATATTTAAGGGAACGTAGGCAAAAAGTAAATATCAATAATCAAATTTCGACATCAAGGTACATTCAGTCAGGTGTTCCACAAGGCTCAGTAGTGGGACCATTGATGTTTTTACTTTACACTGCAGACTTACATGATAACTTCAAGAATACACATGCTCAATTTTTTGCTGATGATACGCAGATGAAGTGTGATTTTAATGCCGACAATGTCCCGGAGTCCATGATGCTAGTAAATGCGGATCTGGATAGTGTTAATAAGTACTGCAGCTCTCACAACTTGAGAGTAAATCCCTCAAAATGTTCTACTATATTATTTGGCAATAAAAGATTATGTGAAAACCTTAAACCATTAATTCACATCAAAGTAAAAAATTTGGGCATTCACTTTGACTCGGACTTACGTTTTAACTCCCATCTGAATAATGTCTTGAAAAAATGTTATCTATCCCTCAGGCTTCTATTTGCAAACAAACATATTCTGCATAGAAACATCAAAATTAAATTTTGTCAAAGTTTAGTTATTTCTAAAATGTTATATGGCTTATCCATATATTACCCATGTTTGACGTCTATTAACGCAAAACGTTTGCAGATAATGCAGAATACCTGTGTACGGTTTATCGAGGACCTAAGAAAGTTCGATCATGTATCACACTTGTATCGTAATCTTGCATGGCTAAGCGTTCAAAACCTTTTCAAATACTCCATTCTCAGCTTTACTCACAGGATCATACTAACATCATCCCCTCAATACCTCAGCTGTAAGCTTGTTCCAAGGGCGTCTGTGCATAATCTTCAGGTTCGTAACCGTGACACCTTAACTATGCCAATACACCGCACATCACTTTTTAGACGAACTTTCACATACAATGCAATTTTATATTACAATAGCTTAAGCCAGGATCTGAAGACTATCCAGTCCTCCCGGAGTTTTAAAACTCAGTTAAAAAGATATTTACAAGAATTGCAAAACAACCGCTAGCTTAAGAAGTTCTTTCATTTTCATACTTTTTGTATTTTTCATTAATTATTTTTCCGTTTCTTCATAACCTATTATCTCTTCTTTTTATAGCTAAATTGGCACAAATAGTCCTATTATAATGCAACCTATTATCTCTTCATCTTTTTATAGCTAAATTGGCATAAATAGTCCTATTATACTATGACTTAATGTTTGTAGTTTCACATTTTTTTTTTTGTTTTTGTATAACTTGTTTTTTTTTTCACTTTTGTACGGGGTTAGATGGTGGAGTAGCAGGTGCTAAATCTCGCCCCATGTAATGTACCATGTTTTGGTCAATAAAGACGATTATTATTATTATTATTATTATTATTATTATTATTATTATATTTAATAATAATGTTATAATCTGTTTAATCTAAATTAAGCATCAGTGATGAGCTCATTAATTCCATCGTGTAAAATACATAATTACCTATGTGTAGAGAGTTCCATTTGTCTGTCTTGTTATTCATGTTGACAATGTTGAGAATGTAAACATATAGTAGTTCAATTGAGATCGCTATAAAGATAAAGTTTCAAATATAGCAGGATTTTTGAAAAACATACATTCTGAAAACAATATCTTTTTACTGATTTACACAAATTCAAACTGATAGAATGGTGCATCAACAGACGCATGTGACTTCTTTTTACACATGAGCATACAATTGAATATAGTCAGTTACATCCAGAAAAAAATAATTTCTCTGATTTGTTTTTTTTTTGGCAAAATAATGACTATATCAAGGCATGTTGTGGCTACAATGTCAATGTTTTACTTTTGTTTTTGTTTATCTTTTTTTAAAATGTTATCTCTTAGTTTTTGCGAAGAAAGCAGCTTCTGGGAGCTGAGTGGTACAGATATTTTTAGTTATTGCACTTTCACGAAGAAAGACAACTGGTCCACCGAGGCATACCACAGAGCGTCAAGATAGGCGCTTCAGACAACTAGCCCTACGAGGCCATTTTACATCATATCGCTGACCAATGGTTTGGAGAAGAAGGTAGACCTGTTACTATGCGTACACTCTATCGTCACATTCGAGCCTTTGGACTTTTTTCATACCGTCCACGGTTGTGCTTCTTCTCACTGCGGACCACTATCGTCCACATTTGAACTGGAGCAGAAAACGACAACATTGGGAGGCACCATTGACGTAGAAGAGTAAAACGCCACCGTGGAGAACGGCGTGATATTGAATTTGCTGTTGAGAGGTATGCACAGGACTATTGGAGTAATGGTTTGGGGGCTATTGCCTATGTTAGCCGATCACCCCTTCTCTTTGTTCAAGGCAATATGACTGCTGAGCGTTATGTTGATGATGTCCTTCAAACCACTTTACTGTCGTATCTGGAGGGCCGTCCACACGTCCCTTTTTGCTCTATTGCTCGTCGTACCACTGACATGTGTATGATATGATGGGGAAGAGGCTACCCACTTTGCATTATCCGCCTCAGACTCTGCCACAGCTAATCCACGAAGTTCGATTTGCTTGGAATGAGGTGCCACAACCAGACATCAATCATCACATTTTGTCGACTCTTTTCTTATTACTTGTTCAATAAAATTTCGTGAGAATGTTATTGTTGCATTCTTGATGTAAGACTACCTCATTGCCAAAAAATCAAGTTGAAGAAGCTATTTTTTCTGGGTGTACACTTCTAATGTCACTGAGTATATTTTCTTCCATCTTTAACCAAAGTAAACCTCAGCTTATGATTTTTTTTATACAATGGTGTCTGTTATATACCTTTTATTCCTTCGCTTCCTTAAGAAGAAGCCAAAGATTGATGGTGAACCCAAAATACCCAAAAATAAGACAAAAATTCAAAAAATTATTTACGATCGCTACCCAACGGCAAATTAGGGACTCGGATACCACTTGAGCCTGGGGCCCCTTCAGCAGTAGGTTCCAGGGACCTCTACATGGCTTAAGATCGCCCTGAACAAACCCACCCATGTCGATTTATAATTACTGGTTGCCATTCCACTAATGTTCTAATGTTTGCCAGTGAACCTAGCCTCTCATTGTCTACGGATTATTAAGGTCACACATAATTTTTGTTCAACAGTGAGAAAGAGTATTATTAATACTTTTCGCTTGATTGTTTAATGGTGTGTTTGGATCTCACTGATAAACAATATTATCATCAAAAACAAATTTTATGCATTTTTTAATAATCTTAACTCGTTAAAAAACAGTAGTAAACATAAGTACAGTTCTGAATCATATCCCAATATTCTAGATCTACGATCCCCTTCCCACTTCAGTTGGCCCAACTATTGAAATCTTAGTTTTTTTCTTATCAAACAGAAATAATAAAAATGTAGCAATATGTTATAGGTTTAAAATATTAACAATGAATATTTTGATAATATATAGTAGAAAATACCAACTTTATCACTCCCTAATCAAATTTGCAGCATAAAAATAACACATGTTACAATTACAGCATATCAACCTATTTTCATTTCAATGCAAAATAAGTCTATAACGCATAGGTGGCTGTGAAAAATAAAAGCCATGACAATTGTTTTTATTAATCACAGCTGTCAAAATACGTTTAAAATAGTTTTGGGTAGTTAAGGTTTTCAAAATGGGTGGAGAAAAGGTTATTACTGAGAAAATTCGGTTACTGATAATTAAATCTTTTAATTCTTTGAAGTCAAACTCAGAAATTGCCACTTTGTTAGACTTATCGAGGTACAGTGTAAGAAATATTGTTAGAAGATATAACGTAACTGGTTCAGTTTATATTAAGCCAAGATATGTGAAAAAAGTAATATCACAAATGCCGACCGAAGAGCATTAAGAAGAATAATCGTGAAAAACAGGTGTGCCAATTATTTACAATTAAGTGATCTGTGGAGTGACGCTGTTGGAAAGAGAATTTCGAGGTTCACAACTCATAGAGAGGCCCACAAACTGGGATTTAGCACTTGCAAGGTAAGTTTTCTTATAAAAAAAGTGAAGTAAAAACCCTAAAGTTGCACAACTTGTTTATAGGCCAAAGAAAAGCCACTATTAACTCCACTGCAAATGAAAAATCGGCTTAGATGGGCTAAAGAACATAGACAATGGACACCTCAACAATGGTGTGCAATACAATGGAGTGATGATGCCCGATTCGAAGTTTGTGTTGGTGACAGTCGCAGTAGAGTTATTCGCAAAAAAATTGAAGCATTCCATGTTGACTGTCTGAAGAGAAAAGTGAAATTTCCAGCATCCATTATGGTCTGGGGCAGTATGTCATCAAAAGGAGTAGGAAAACTTCATTTTATTGATGGAAATGTGGATACAAAGAAATATTTGGCAATTTTAGAAGAATCGCTTTTACCAGTGATGGAAGAATGTTTGACATGCGGCCAAAATTTTATGTTTCAGCAAGATGGTGCAGCGTGCCATAACCTCAAAAAGGCTATAAAATGGATTGAAGAAAATAATGTACCACTTTTGAAATGGGTTTCTAACAGTCCAGATCTGTCACCTATTGAAGCTTTGTGGCACGAGATGAAAAAGGTTCTACGACAACATCCTGTTCGTACAATCACCGAACTGAGACAAAAGCTTCAAGAAATATGGGATTGTTTTACACCAAATTTTTGCCAAAACTTGGTTAACACTATGCCCCAAAAAATGTCAGCCGTAATAAAAAATAAAGGTGATGTTACCCAATGGTAATCTTTCAATTGTTGCTTTGTTAACTTCGCGCATTTATTCGCACATTGTTTATTTGTTCAGATGTTCTATTAGTTATAGGTCTAAGTAATTTCAAATATATTCAAATATTTTTTACGACTAGAGTGTATCTAAAATGTTTTTGAGAAAATAAATTGTTTTAGAAGTAAATAGTTTCGTCATGTTTAGTTTATAAAGGCATATTTTGGTACAAATCTTGAAGTGGGCCAACTGAAGTGGGAAGAGGCTCGTACAGTAGATTGGTGTAAGTAATTACTTATTTCGATAGCGTTTTTTTTTCAAAAAAGGTTTGCTTTTCTTGAAAACTCAGTTTCGTTTCATCGGAGTTACTTCTGGGAGAAACCATTTTGATAAATAATACTTCCACTAGTGGATAAATTTGTGGTGTTATATTAAAATTGTCTCACTCCTTTCTCTACGAAATAACCACCCAGGGACGTTTAAACCTCTTGAAGGAGATAAACATCCTTTTTAATGTGCCCAACAAAAGCTCATATTTCATTATATGGAGTAGCAGTTTCGTGTCGCTTCTTGCCGTGAACCTGAAAATTTATCAAGAAAACTGCCAAAGCAAAAAGCGACGACTTGGTCCCAGGTGGTGTAACTCTATCTTTCGCTAAGATTTAGCGAAGTACTTACAGTAAAGCTTTTTTATTATATTTCTTAGTATTGTTTCGAAGTTAATACCAGGTTTTTTTTGGTCGCACTGGACATTATCAGTTAGATCTAATATGAAATTGTAATCTAAAGTTCACCTATGACAAATATATTTCTTTGAACAATGTAGTTTTGCTGAGGATTTAATTAATATGCACGTAAGCCACAACACATTTTTGTATGCGGTATGATATGTGCTCACAAAAATTCTTATGACTAGTTCCATGGGTATGTCAATTTATGTTCTTGCATCTGCATAATCTTAGAAGTAACTGCACCAATTTTCATGACATTGAGGACGTTTTCAACTTCAGGACCTCTATTCTTGAATTTGAGGGAGAAGAAATTGTGAGAGAAAGTGGCAAAAAGTGGGCGTGGCCAAGAAATGCAGTATTCTTAAAATCAGTTCTGCCGAAAATTGATAGAAATAAATTCACTTTAGGGAGTCGCGATTTCTCTTGGTACTGACCAAGAGAAACTGGAAAAATTAGTAGAAAATAGCCCTATATAACCTGAACATTAACGTGTTTCGCGTTGTTATTGTCGTTCCTGCTTCACATATTGCAAAAAATGTTTAATTTCAATCAATTGATGTATTGTAACGATATTATTAATGAGGATGTAGAGGAGGCAGTTGAGGAATGGGAGATTGGGAGAGATCTTCTTGGGCACCGAGACCCTTTCACAATTTCCGATCGAAAATTCGAACAGATGTTTAGGTTGACCAAAGATTTGGTGTATGAATTGCTGGAGATATTGACTCCATTCATACAACCACCCCGACGAGCTTCTGCACTTTCGATCACAACAAAGGTAAGTAAGTCTTAGTCATTCTAAAATAGCACCTATCCTTTGATCTATGATGGAATCCATACAGAGGCAAAACAGCAGAATAATTTAATCAAGAATTGAAAATTTACAGGTTTTGGCAACTCTAAGATTTTATGCTTGTGGCAGCCATCAGGAGATCACTGGCTCCAACCATTTTGTTGGGATTAGCCAGGCATCGATGAGTAGAGCAATAAAGGAGGTAACGGAGGCATTAAATCAACCACAAATTCTTGCAACCAAAGTAAGCTTTCTCAGAGATCCAGAGTAACAAGATGTTCTGCGTAGAAGGTAAGTTTTCTTAATTAGCGGCATACTGTATATATTAGGTATTCTTGTTAGTTTTTCTAAAATGAAACAACTTGTAGAGACTTTCTTTGGAGAGGTGTAACTTTCAAGAAACAAAATCCAATAGTTTTTTTTTAAGTTGGTCCAATAGTAATAGGAAAACAGGCCTGAAGCAATTTAAGGAAAACTTCTGGTTTTTCATTATTGGACCTATCCCCTCTATATTTCATACCCTACATACACCTTTTTAAAAATTAAACTTCCTATTTTTAGGTTTTATAGTATTCATAACTTCCCAGGAATATTGCGTATCATAGACTGTACACATGTGGCAATTGTGTCACCCAGAAATAATGACCCATTATACGTCAATAGGAAAAATTACCATTCACTGAATGTTCAGCTAGTAAGTACATAAACTATAGTACTAAGATATTTAGGTTTACCTCTTACCTGCTTAGTTTTATTGCTTTGCAAAATAAGCGCTACCTTGCTTAAAAAACTAATAAATAAATAAATCTAAAACCAATATCAAAAAGTGAGAAACTTAAAAACGGCACAGGTTACATACAAGTAATCAATTAGTTTATATTGTATGTTTGGGGTATAATATTATTCTAAATGATGTACTACATATTTAACTTCTGGTTTCATAGTATCTTTTTATTTTTTAGATTTGTGACCCAGATCTCAAGATTATGAATGTTAATTGAAGGTTTCCTGGATCGGCACATGATTCTTTTATATGGGCACAATCTCCTGTAAGCTTATACATGGAGCAAATATACAGAAGGAATCCTCAAAACATTTTTTTTGCTTGGTGACTCAGGTTACAGTATTTCTTTGATTCATTTCTATTAATCGTCTTTAGCAAGGAAGGGGAGGAAAATAAATTCATTAAAGTATGTCGTTTGAAATATCAAATTACAGCGTATTTAATAATGTATGTGAAAAAAAGGGTGCAAACTAGGTACCAATTTGTCAGTTTTTTTTTGGGGGGGGGGCATTATACTTTTAAAGCATTCAATTTTGCAGGTTACCCAACCCGTCCCTGGTTACTTACACCCCTACCAAATCCAGGAAACCATGGGGAGGAGCTTTTTAATGAAAGACTGTCCTCTGTAAGATCCATTATTGAAAGATGTAATGGTGTCTTGAAAAACAGGTTTAGATGCCTTTTACGGTACAGGACCCTACACTATAGTCCTACAGTAGCAGGAAAAATTGTTAATGCATGTTGTGTTTTACACAATATGTGCTTTGATAATGGTACACCTGACCCAGATGAACCACAACCAGAGGAGCCGGACTATGGCATGTACACTGTAGAAAATCTACAGCAAAGAAGAGTAGCTGGAAATCCTGACCTAGCTGCTGCAAGGCAGATACAGGAGAACATAATATTAAATCATTTTAATGGATAAAATAAATATCTACAGTAATAAATTCCAAAATTTGTAAAAAAACATTTGTTCTTTATTCTAACAGGTACGAACATTGCAAAACTATATTTGGTTTGGTTTCAAGCTTAATATAAATAATCTTAGGTTAGGCACTAACTAAAAGAGACAAACAAAACAAGTATCCTTTAAAAAACAAATCTGAGTAAACAAAACAATTATTTCTAAAAAGATAAATAATTTGAAGCAGTCTAACTTAACAAGGTAAGGCTTCAAGATTGATCCTGAGTTAATTTTAACAGGTACATAACAGTCTCAAGTCTAAGCATTAATCAGAACCAAAGAAACAAACAATATAAATTCTAACAGTTGTACTTACAAAAAAATATAAGTACGAGATGGAAATATTATTCACAAAAGTTAATTCTAACAGGTACGTAGTTATAACACTTGAAAGGTTTCTCATAAACTGAATAATTAAATTAATTCAGATATTCACATCCTTTATTAATACTATTAGAAATATCTTCTAGTGCTTTGACTTTCTTATTTTCGATTTTTATCTTTTGTTCATAGTACGATTTCAATGTTTTCAGCTTTTCAGTCTGATAATTTTTTGTACTTTTCATTGACTCCTCGGTTAGCTGTAAAAATCTTTTATTATTCTTTATAGATTCTCTTAAGCGCATTGTTTTGTTAACTCTCTTATGTGGTCTTTTGACACTTGTGTCAGTATTTAAAACAGGATTTAAGGACTCTAAATTTGTTGCTTGGGAAGCATTTATGCCTTTTAATTCTGTGTTTGCAACATCAGCGTGTCCAACTTCAATTGCCATATCTGTGTCATCTTCCAAATCACCACAGTAATCATAATCCAGCTGAAAAAAAGTGCATTATTGCTATTTAAACAAACATTTATCCTTACTAAAAGTCAAATATTCATCAGGTCATACAAATATCTCCTTCAAATAAACCAGGCTATACTTTAATATCTCTTAAAATCAGTACATGCCTTGTAACATATCTTGTACCTTTATACTATACACTTGGTTTGGATTGTGTAATAAATCAAGTATTTAAATTCAGTATTATTTCATCTTATGCTGATATGCTAGCACTTACCCTATGAGGCATTTCTTCCAACACAAATGGGTCTGGAACATTCTCATTTCCAGTGACACAAACTGGGGTAATTAGTTCCATAATTTTGTCTTCGACATTATCAAAATGCCTTGGAGGTGGACCGCCCCCTGTACCAGACTGATATTTTTTCCTGTCTGCTAGTCTCGACTTTGAATTTTTTTTTATATCAATCCATGTCTAGAAAGATTATAATTTTTCTACGTCAGTACCAAGCAAATGCAAAATGCATTGTTTAATAGTATAATTAATAATAATAATATTTATTCGCCAAAATACAAAAAATGGGCAAATAAATATGAAAAAACCACAGAAGGCATCGCCTGTGTGTGGTTTATATCTTAATAACTAACAATCAATCATATATGTGTATAACAATTATTGTTAAATCTAAAAGGTATTAATGTAATTGGAATTTTGTAGTTTTAGTTTTCTATATAATTATGTATAGTCATTCGCTGCACATTACTAACCCAGTCTTTCAATTTTCTTCTAATTTTTTTTCCAAAATTAAGTATCTTTATTTCGTTTGGTACTACATTATATAATTTAGCTGCTAAGAATTTAAATGATTTTTATGCTCGTGTTTATAGGATTTTTTCTTTTTATTACAATACTTATGGTATAAGGTGGCATGTAAGAAATAAAGTTGTCTTGTATCAAGTATCCCTGTTTCTTGATATAAGTTGTTCGTTGGATATAATCTTGGCTTATGGAAAATGGCTTTCAAAACAGTTTTTTGTGCTATATTCAGGTCAGAAATATATGTCTTGCCGCGGCACCCCAGGCTGTGATGCCGTATATTATATGGGTTTCAACTAAGGCATGGTATAGGATTCGGATAACTTTCTGTAAGAATGTTAGCAAGCATTTTGAGTTTATAGGCAACATTTCTAATTTTTTTGATAACATATTTGATATGGTTATCCCACCTTAGATGTGAGTCTATAAATATTCCAAGATATTTCAAAGTGTTAACTCTATCGATTTTGGTCTTTTGGCCATGATAATTAACGGAAATTTGTTCGAAGGTAGGTAAAATTTTTGAGTAGGATGTAAATGCAATAAATTTTGTTTTTTTGAAGTTAACTGTTAAAATTTTAGTATCAAACCAGTCAATGATCCTTATAAAATCCTGTTCAGCTATTTGCTTCAGTGTGCTCCAGTCATCAGCTTTATATAATACGAGGGTGTCATCTGCAAAACATATAATCTTTCCAGAACTGTTAATTTTGAATAAGTCATTTAAGTAGAGACTAAATAATAGTGTGCCTAGTACTGTTCCTTGAGGCACACACACTTGATGTACATTTTTTTACTGTAAGTGTTAGTGATTTTGACAGTCTGTGCCCGACTTGAATGGTAATTTTTTAAAAGGATTTGTGACGCTCCCCTAAATCCCAATCTTTCCATAACTTTCAGAAGCTCGACATGACTAACCGTATCAAAGGCATTTTTTAGATCAACAAAGATACCAACAGTAGGTATCTTTTTGTTGACATTAGAGTTAATTTCATCCATTGCAGCCAAAATTGCATCTGTAGTAGATTTTCCTTTTCTAAATCCATATTGGTCAGAACATATAATTTTGTTTTTGTCCAAAAATTGTAATATCCTTTTTTGTAGTAATTTTTCGAAAATTTTGGCTATATTCGATAGTACTGATATGGGTCTATAATTTGATGTTTCCATTCTGTCACCGCTTTTATAAACAGGAGTAATAACAGTTGTTTTAAATGCATCAGGACAAATTTCAGATTGGAAACACCAATTAATGACGTAAGAAAGTGGTTCGGCTAAGTCGTAGGCTATTATTTTTAAATGGTCAGCTTTGATACCATCTACACCAGGACTTTTTTTGGTTTTAAGTGATAGGACAGCTTCTTGTACTTCAATCGGACTAACGCTTTCTAAAAAGAATGAATTGGGAAGTTGGGTTTTTGTGAACTTTTCGTTCGAAACCATTTTTTTAATACTGGATGCTAAATTTTCTCCAACATTAGTGAAAAAATTTAAGAATGCATCGGATATTTGTCGTTTATCTGTTAATATTGTTCCATCACGATTCTTAATTTCATCAATATTTGGCTTTTCTTGAACGTCTTTGTTAGTTAAGTGATCGACAACTGACCACAGTTTTCTTGGATCAGATTTGGCATCTTGTAATTTTTTTAGATAGAATTGGCGTTTTGCTTCTCTAACTAGATTGATAAAAATATTTTCATATTCTTTATTTATGGGAGGTATCTGCACATGGCGATGCTTTCATTATTTTGTATAGTTCCTCTTTTTTGTTGGCAGACTTTATCAAACCTTTAGTTATCCAGGGATTCCTGCTTCTGTCAAAATGTTTAATTTTAACTCTGTTTGTACTACATTCAATTAAATATTTTATGCGTTCAATGAGTGTGTTTGCAGCATCATTAGCATCCGTTGCACAGTACACTGCTGTCCACGATTCTAATTTGATATTTGCAAGTAGTTTTTTATTTTTATTATTATCGTTAGTTTTTTCTGGTGATGATATAAGTATTACAGTGGGTAAATGATCGGTAATATGGTTTTCAACAATTAACGGTATGTACCGAAAGAAATTTGAAAAATGTTTGATGAAACAATGATCAATGCAAGAACTGGAACTATTATTGACTACTCTTGTTGGTAAATTTATATTTGATATGAATCCATTGCTCTGCATTACAGTGAGGTATTTGTTTACTAATTTGGTATGTTGGAGTATATTAATATTCATATCTCCTATTATGATGTGGTGTGACTGTATGACAAAAATTGTTCAAGATTTTCTACAAATGTATAAGGGTTTGATGATGGTGGTCGATAGACAGATGTGACTTTTACACTTTTGTTATTAATTCTCAATATCAAATCCAACACTGTGATACCGTCATCAAATTTAACAAAATCACATCTGTAGTTGATATCATTTCTTACATATACTACCACCCCATCATTCTGGTTGTACGTACCATTATTGCAAAGCGTATCATAACCTTCCAAACAGAACATAATAATATAATGTAATACTTACTTTTCGCCATTGCACCCAGTCTTTACTAGCTCCATTAGGCAACGCATTTAATTTGTTTGCCATTTCAGTCCATAACGCCTTGGACTGGGCACGGATATATGCCGGCGTGAATTTTTCCTGGTGCATTTGCGGGTGCTCTCGGAGAAATTCAATCAATTTCTCCTTTTGCTCATTTGTAAGGTGTTTTTTGGACGCTTTCGACTCCATAGATAAAATGACATATAAAATAATGAGAAAATCTTGTCCGAAATCTTTGGTTAGTTTTTGACTGTCAAAATTATCTCCATTTTGATTGGTTTAACACATTTACCCAAACCTGGCGGTTGCACAGGGTTCTGTGTCTTGATTTCCTTTCTCCTTTCGATCGAATCCTTTCAAGAATACAGTATTTTCGAATCGATAGAAAACCGGGGGAGTAGAAAAAGAGAGGGAGTGTGATTTTCTATTGAAGTCAAGAATACGGGCATTGGATGAAATTTTTTCACTTCTAACACCTCAGTGTGTCCCAGATTCGCTTCTCTATACAGGGATCTCGACACATGTTATACCTACAGCAAAGGTTGACCGATCGTAAATCTGAAGCCGGGTATCGAATGCACTAAGTTTCCTCTAAAACTTTCCCCATATTACCTTTGCTGTAGTTATAACAGGAGCAGAGATCCCTGTATAGAGAAGCGAATCTGGGACACACTGTATATCAATGCCTTCGGTTTTATAAGATTTAAATAATTTCATTATAATAGTATTATTTACCCTAACCTATACGTAAATCAACGATCATGACGTTTCATCCTCTTTTTACAAATACTTTGAAAGTCACAAACTCAAATGAATGCAATACGAACCTAATTTGGCCGGCGGAAAGGCCCATTTCAGTTTCAGATGGGGATA